AGGTACTCTTTAGCTGCTTCAGTGAGGACCTATCAGTGGAAAGAGACCAAATAAAGTACAAAAGAGAGGAGGGAAAGCAATTAAGTTAAAAGAAAACTGACACGGAGGTGCTTTAAAACAGGATTTAGTGTCAGAATAAAACAGTCCTGAATGTTTAAATCACTTGGCCACCCTTTGCATGTCACTGATTCTCCAGCATACAGCAGCTGTGATTGTGTGGCCCCTTCTGAATGTTGCACTGCATTGATTTTGTGTTGTGAATGGTGTTTTAATGTTCTGAGGAGGACGTGGAAATGAACTAACAGTCAAAGCTAAATGTTTTAACTTTATGAAAAATAATTACAGGAGACCCTGAGGATAGCTGTTTAGTACTTTATATCATGCCAGTGTGTATGTGCTAGGAACCAAGCACTAGCTTCAGAGTTCTTTGATATGAGAATGTCTGCCTTCAGAAGTTTATGGCATTATAATGGCTGATAAAGAAGGAGAAACTCAAGTCACAGAAATTTCCATATGCCTGGAGGAGCAAGTAAAAATGATGCGCAGCAGCTACCAGCCCAGGCATTTAAACAGAAATTAATGGCTCCCGATGCGAAGATGAGGCTTTGTCTTCTGGCTCCACTTCTAAAGAGGCGATAAAGAAATATTGTTTAATTTCTGTTAGGATATCATGAAAAACCCGTGATAGATGCCTAGCAGTGTGACACCTGGAGGTTTAGGAGTAATTCTGACCTACTTCTTACTTCAAAATACCCATCTGACTCAATAGGAAGCGTTGGACAGATTAACTAGCAAGCATGGCTACAGTGAAATGAATTTGATCGGTTCCAGTGCAGGATTTTAATTCAAGCAAAAAAATTCAAAGAGCAGGCCTTAAATTGGTGCTTTACAGGAGAAAAATGTCTTCTATTTGCTCTGTATTAGTGAATGACTATCGATAGGATGAGAGGAAATGGCCTCAAGTTGCGCCAGGGGAGGTTTAGACTGGATATTAGGAAAAATTTCTTCACCAAAAGGGTTGTCAAGCACTGGAGCAGGCTGCCCAGGGAGGTTGTTGAGTCACCATCCCTGGAGGTATTTAAAAGACGTGTAGATGTGGTGCTTAGGGACATGGTTTAGTGGTGGACTTGGCAGTGTTAGGTTAATGGTTGGACTCGATGATCTTAAGGGCCTTTTCCAACCTAAATGAGTCTATGATTCTATGCGTTCATGAGATCAAAGTTTAGAGGCAAGCTGAAGATCTTCCCCTGTTTTAACTTGGCTTGAGAAGATGCTATTGATCTTAGTGAGGGAAAATGAGATTTTTGAAGAATTGCTTTATTTTGATTTAAGTAGAATACAAGTAGAGAAATAGAATAGCACTCAACTAAAGAGAAATAGGACCCTGAAAGGCAGAAAACCTCACTTTTATAAAGCTTTTTGTAGTGAGTCTTTTTTTGGTGTTCTGTTTGAAGGCCCTCAAACCATACAGCTTTTCTTCAAGATATGAATGAATGTTGCTTCCTCAGTGAATGAATGTACTACTGAAGCCAGCATGATAGACCAAAGGCTTACAGAAGAAATCATCCTTTGTGCCAGTCTTTGAGTGGTGGAGGGTATGAAAACCAACAGCAAAAGTGTTGCAGACAGGAGCCATGCTCATATTTCAACAGTATTACGATATTTAGGACAGATACTAATGAGTGCCGGAGATGACAGCAGTGAGTTAGTTGCTTTTTGCTGTGTGTAAAGGAAGTAGTAGGTTTTCCACAGCCATTGAAAGCTGCTTTTCAATGTTTCCTTGCTGCTGCTTCTTAAAAAAGAACGAGTATGTTATTATTCTTATCCAGGTATTAAAGGCTCAGGAGCTAAGACTCTTGGATTATTAGATCATTGTTGGCAGGAAAAAGGAAATACAGATAATGCTCTCAGGCATTTTCTGTACAATTCAGGCATCTTACATTGGTGGTTAGGGTTATCCAAACATTGTATTATTCTTTGTTGCTGCTGACATTGTCACTGGTTAAAACAAATAATTTAAGATTTGTTTCTACTTTTCTGCTTGGAGGGAGATGAGTTGCTCTCTTCCATTCACCCAAGGCAAAAATCATCATTTTATTGATCTTGTGCTTTGGTTTCTCTTATTTATTCATTTCACTTGTTTTCCATGGTAGTGGTTAGTGTCAGCCTACACTGATGAGAGAAGGGGAGCACACCAAATCTTCTGTGCCGCTACGTGTCATTCCTGTTTGTAGTGGACATATCTTTAGGTACGGCAGGAGAGTTAATGTGGGTATGAACAGTCTTAGGAAAAACTATACTGTATAAAATGGATCATCTTTGCTGGAAGTCTGAGCACTTCATGGACGTTTGAATTAGTTCTGCTTAAACATCTAATTTACGCTACTCTTTGCACTGACGAGATAAGAATAAAAGAAGAGATGTATCTTTCTATGTCATATATCATCTGTGAAATGTTTAACCAAGTTCTGACTGGAGGAGGAACAGAACAGCTTGATTTCAGAATGAGTTTTCTTACATAATTAAAAATACCAAATGTGTGCAAAAATCAGAGACAAACAGTATGTATTCAATATCATTTATGCAGTCAGTGTTTTGAAAGCCAGTGGCGTTGACAGTACCACTTGTACTGGTCTTCCACAAAGTAGTTTTCTGCATTTTTTACATTCTGTTATTATCCAAAAGACAATTTGTACTTAACAGCTATTTCAAGCTACAGAGATTATACTCTGATCCACATCCAACCTTTATCTACAGACTTGGAGGTGTTCAGGTTCATAGTCTTGATTCTTGTCCATGTCTGTTTTTGCTGAACTCCTAATTACCCTTTGTCTTCATTGATGACTTCAGTAATACAATAGTGAATGGAATTTGACATATTTTGTAATTGACAGAAGACATAGAAAGCTATTCTAAATGACTTCTTAGGAAGAAGACCATAAAATTTGAATTATCTTGAATTACCTTCTTGTTTGTATGTTTATGAAATGTAAAATATAGAAGCTGAGGACAGGCTATAGATATATATATATAAGGCTGTAGACAGCTGCTTGAACTCTTTAGGAAAACTGCCACTTGTAGATGCGGTTGAATGACTTGCCAATTAATCAACTGTGAAAAAAATGTCTGTTTTATAAATTGCAAAATGGCAATGACAGAATCAAAACGTACTCCGGAGAGGGCTATAATTATCATATACACCCTTGAAAAATTACCTGGTGTTTTTTCATTTTTTGTTGGTTGGATTTTTAATACTGAGGCCAGTACTGCCTGGTTAGGCCTGGTGACACACCTGAACACAGAGAGCTGAGATAAAAAAGTTATGCCTTTTGTAAGACCTCATCAAACTTCCCACCAGTCTGAAAAAATGTAACGAGTAGTGATGTCCAACAGCTAACTGCCATATGGAGCAAGGAATATATTATTGGGAAAATCCTTTCATGAGTGAGGATATATTTAGCTTTCTGTAAATCTAAGTAGGATCCAAGATGCTTCTTTCCAGAACAGATGCAGTCCCACAATGGATGTAATACAACATTCGCTCATGGGCATAGCTGAGATACAGAGAACAGCTAATAACCACCTGCATCCCGTGTAAAGCAGGCAACACATCTAGAGATACAGATTTGCAAACATTTAATTTACTAATGAAATAAAACTGCAAACACTGCAGTAGGCAAGAGGACAGCCCTGTGTGAAACTTCATTGCAGGAGAAGGACGTAGGAAACACTATCTGACTAAATGAAGAACTGTCAACAAGTTTACAAGATTAATATGTGGATTTAAGTTGCAGTCACTATTCAAGTTTCCTATCCCACATCGACAGCATAGCAGGTAACGGCAGGAACTGAAGATCCATAGTTCTGGCAGCATTCACATCATAGTCTCAGATGTCATCTCCATGGAGCATGTTTGTTTCCCATGGTTATGTTTCACAGTAGAGTGAGTAATGTGAAAGTGGAGGCAGCAGTTGTGGAGTCTTACTTGCTACTTATCCAGCAGTTTCCCATCAAAACATGGGGTTTAGCACAATAAAGTTTGTTCTTTTACTATCTGTGTCAGGCTGTTTGTTCAGCAAGGTATGTTAGCTGAATATAACTACCCAGCCTCCTGTGCTTTCAGTGTGTCTGTTTGGTTGAATCACGCCATGACTGACACCGAGACACATTAGTGGGAGGATTGTTTATGAGAAAAAGGGAAACAAATTTGACACTTAAGTTTACCAGGGAAGTTGTTGCGGGAGCACAGATGCTCATCGCTGCCAAATACGCACAGCCGAGGTCAGGGAAATCTGTCAGAGAAAGCAAAGCAGCCTTGAAGCAATTTTTTTTAACCGTCTGGCAGAGGAGAACACACATGAAATATTGTTACAGCTGAGCAGAGTGCTGCCCTCCTTCCTCTACTTCCTTAGGATTGCCTAATCCCCTTTCCTCCTACCAAGCTCTAATGAGACATTGCAGACGGTGCTCCTCTCCCGCCTTCCCCTCTCCTTCATGGGTTCCCCCAGGAACCTACAGCTCCTCTCTTCTGTGGGATGGTGACAGTGACAGCAGCAGCCGGCTGGGTTTGGACTAAACGTCCCCTTCCGATGTCCTTTCGCTCTCCCTTGCAGTCGTCGTGCCTGCTCCTCTTCCAGGCCCACACTTTAGTGTTTCGTGCTTCTGCATGGGGAAGTGTAGCTGTGGAGGAGGCCTGGTCAGCACGAAAGTACTGACACGTGGGGAACCTGGGAAACCTCTTAAAGGTAATTTAAAAATACACATATTCCTGTGCTATGGGTATAGGAGATCCTGACAAAAATTGGAAAAGGAGGATTGTTTGGGCTGAGTTGGGCTGTGCGGTTAGAGCCCGGAAAAGAGACAAAGATAGGTAGAAGGGAAAAGGATATCACTGAGAAGACTGAAGAAAAGATATAAAAATAACCTACACTGTAAAAGGGTGGGCTTTCAGATATAGCAGTTTCTTGAGTAACGAGGAGAAAACTATAGAAAGACAGAACATGCACAAAAGGAGCAACTGTCGGAGGCCTGTGGGGAGACAGACTGGGGAATGCTGTAACAGGGGAATGCAGAGGAGACTGCAGGTCGAAGTCAAGAAAAACAGATTAAAGCAAGAAGCCAAACCAGAAAATACATTTTTAAGAACCAGAAGGGGACAGGAAGAGAAAAAGTGGAATCTCCCACTCCCGCCAAATAGAAGGGGAAGTATGCAGTGACAAAGATGAAAGAAAAGATACATATATTTGCACGGTAGATGGAAAGAATAGTTTATACGATGAAATGAAATGAAGGGAAGGAAGTTATACAGTAAATTCACATTGATGGTGAAACACTATAAAATCCTTTCTCTGATTTTTCTCTGTGGCTACTAAGTCCTGGAAGAGCTGTGATTCCCGCTCTGAATGATACTCCTGGGTCTTTCTGTTAGGGAAGATGCTCAAAGGAAGCAGTGCTGTATTTTGGTTCAGTTAAACTATCATTTATCCTTTGTGAAATGTGAAATGCGAAATTAAATGGTAGAGATGTACCATCTGCTGTTGTTTAATATGTGAGTAAAAGCTAGTGTGTTTGGGCAATGTTTAAGTCCGTGATAAGAGCAGAAATAATGGCAATGTTATGTTGGCTACACCCAGCAGATCCCTCATTGACTGAAGCATCGCGTTTCTTCCCGTGTCTTAGCACTGTCGAACATGATTCCTGGAGGAGAATGAGCATTTCCTCCTTGGCAAGGGGGCTGAGTGTTTTATGTCTGTGTTTTTCTCATTCCTTTTAGGGATCTCTTGCTGTCTGTGGCGCTTGGCCAGGTACTCTCCCTCCTTATCTGTGGCATTGGTCTCACGAGCAAGTATTTGTCAGAAGATTTCCACGCCAACACACCTGTTTTTCAGAGCTTCCTCAATTATATCCTTCTATTCTTGGTCTACACAACAACACTGGCTGTCAGACAAGGTAAGTGCCTCTCTGAAACTGTTTTGTAGAAAACAGCGAGGGTAAAGGCTTTTGCAGAACAACAACAAGCAATGTGATTTAGACACATATCCCATGAACATTTGTTACGTATTTACATTACCTAGTAACACATATTGGATGAACTGAAAAAAACCCAACAAATCTTCATTAGCAAAGAATAAATCAGTAGATATCGGGGATAGTGGTACAAAAAGCAAAGCAAAAAGAAACATCAGTACTTTTCACTTACTAACTGTTTTCATGGGAATGCCTCTCTTACACCTGCCTCGCTGGCAGCACAACCACACACTCAGGGTTCGGTTTGGATTTGACTGCATGTCTTACTTGGAAATATTAGTACGCTTTACATCTTACATAGGCTAAGGAGAGCTCAGGTGCAAGCAAAGAAGAGCTTGCTAGTTCTAGTTGCTGATCAAGGCAATTAAATAGATCACCTATTGTTAGAAAAAAATAGCAGCCAATTTTTAACCATTGGGAAGTAGGAGATAAAGGGAGGGAATTCGAGGTGCTGTTTCTTTGGGGTGCTGTGTGGGCGGAGCAGCTCTACAGTCCTGCCACTGCTTTGTGACAGGGCCTGTGTAACCAATCTGACCTCCAAAGTGAGAAATCCATTCTAGTATGCTTTGGTACTGTGTATCAAATGATCCTCCGTTTGACGGTCTGTATATAATATAGGGGGGGTTGTGCCTTTCGTGCCCATCCCTCCCTTCTTTGAGATTTCATGTCTAGATGAGGTGTGGGAAGTGAATGCGTTTAAGCACATTTCTCAACCACTCTTTTTTTTGTAATGGTTTTATTTACTTACCTTCACAGAACATGTGGATTAGAAGCAAAATAAAAGAGCGAAAATATCATGTGCTTTCCTGACTCGGCTCTCCTGACATAAGGAGGGAAGGGCTCTATGGAGGAAAGGAACTACAAAATGTATTAGGCCGTGGTACATTTATCAGCATACTGAGAGGTTCACGTTTTCTTACAGGAACAAATATTTTGGGGTCATTCTTTGATGTCACATCTTTTAATGATTTGGGAACAACACTGAAGCTTAAGTTCTTCACTCATAGTACAGTCTTGTGATACAATACTATAAAGTGTTCCAAAACAGCAAGACTTCATTTCCATGCAAAAAATGAACAGTCAAAAGTATACTGCTGTGCTCCAGCACAAAGCACTTAAATGTATTACAACTTAAGTTTTATAAACCTTGGTCTCCATTGGTGTTTTTCAGCAGCGATGAAGGCCAATCTGCAGAGGAAGTGTCAGCTCTTATATAAGGAGAGATTTCTTAGGCAGTGTTTTGCTGTCTTGGTATTTCAGTTTGTGTAGGGGGAAACATCACCACATGCTTTGCTCTGCAAAAGGTTTAAAACATGTATTAGTAGCAACTTTCTGGAGAACTGTGTTTAAAAATAATTCTTCTGAGTGTAGGATTGCCTAGATGTTCACAAGTTCTATCCCAGAAATGTCCTTCCTGGGACTGATTTAGATACTGTGGAAGCCAAGTCCCTATGACTTTTAAATAGATTTCACTTTTTTGAAAATGCTAGCTTGTGAGGGGATATATGGGCCAGCATACTGCTGTGCATTACAAGGGTTTATTTAGAATAATGTTTGACACCTGGTATATATCGACATTTCAAAAATGCTACCAAGCACTCTGTTTTACACGTATAAAAATATGTATTAAAACTGTATCTTTATAAATAATTTTCTGACTCTGTTTAAAAATGTAGTGGTGGACTAAAGAGAGTTTGTCGGGCCTATCTGTTGTGCCAATATGATAGATTTGGGAAGCGAATGGGGAAAGCGTCAAGGATATGTGAAAAATATTTTCTGGACAAGTGAGGAGGGTTGGGGAAAGTGTTTGAACAGGCCCGCTGCTGAATACGGACCATACGAACAACCAGAGCACAACGTAAAGGGTACCAATGGAATAGTCTGGAAAAGGAGCTGTCAAAAAAAGAAAGATGGTTTGGTCCAAAAAAATCCAGAACAAAATTGGCTACAGAAGCAATGAAAGCAATGATCCAGGCACTCAGCATAACATTCCTGCTGGATGGTATAGCACTATGCAGCCAACTCATTTACTCAGCATTTGATATTGCCAAGTGATTGAGCCTGACGCTGTCTTTTTGCTTGCGTATTTATTCAGATTTATTATCTGTGTTTGTTCCACTAAGGCAGTTTTTCTAGCAGCTCTAATCGTTTGGCTTAGTTAACAGATGGAAATCACATAATAATGATATTAATTTTATATGGGATGATTCTGTTCTGAGTGCTGGGAACATCAGAAGGCTTTTTTTTCAAGTGCGGTTCTTCTACTCTGTATGCAAGATTTAAGATTCTTTAAATTATCCTCTTCCTCCTTCAGAAATCAAAACATCATAAGTTGGCTGGTAGTCAAAAATAACTGCATCCCTTTGTCTTTTTCTTTGCTTGCTTTCTAAATCTTTGGGGTTTTTGCAGAAATGTACTGGCTACGGAGGCATCACTTGAGGTGGCCAAAAAAACTCTTAATTCACTGTAGGACTGAAAGCTATAATTTCCTGGGACATAAGGAACTCCTCTTTCTTTAGAGGCTGCTTCTAAATTTTGATTTACTGTGGATCCCCTTTGACTTAGCCTTCTCTCGCTGTTCATCTTCTCACCCCATATAAACTTCCTGAGTGATACTGAAAAGGTAGAATTTGCACTGGTCTTTGGGAATCATCATTAGCAGATGAGTAAAGCTCCTGATTCCTGATTCCTGAGCTCTTCTGACTAAAGCCTTCTGCAGTGAATGCCCAGCTTCCAGCAGCTAAAGTTAGTCCATGGGCACCAGCAGCTTCCACTACATTTTTATATTGTGGATCAAGATGTTTTTTTCCAAAATAATTTTATCACAGCCCTTTAATGGGTGCAAAGATTAGGACTACCACCTTGCAATGAATCCACATGTCATCAGGCAGTGTAGGAGATGCACAAGTCCTGCAGATGCGAGAATCTCTGAGTACTTTTAAGCTTCATTCCCATGATCACCAGCAGCTTCCACTACATTTTTATATTGTGGATCAAGATGTTTTTTTCCAAAATAATTTTATCACAGCCCTTTAATGGGTGCAAAGATTAGGACTACCACCTTGCAATGAATCCACATGTCATCAGGCAGTGTAGGAGATGCACAAGTCCTGCAGATGCGAGAATCTCTGAGTACTTTTAAGCTTCATTCCCATGATAAAGAAAAAAAAAAAAAAAGAAGAAAAAAAGAAGGAGAGCTTGTCCTCTTGCAATGAATCCACATGTCATCAGGCAGTGTAGGAGATGCACAAGTCCTGCAGATGCGAGAATCTCTGAGTACTTTTAAGCTTCATTCCCATGATAAAGAAAAAAAAAAAAAAAGAAGAAAAAAAGAAGGAGAAGCTTGTCCTGTAGCTCTAGATGGAGAACCAGTTTGAAGGCAGTAAAAGTGAACTCCACAGTTCCAAGCAGTGAAGTCCGTACAGGTAAGGCTGTTCATCATTATTGCAGTTTTGTTCTCATGAGCAGAAATAAGCAGTGACAGAACTGTTAAAGGAGATCTGTTCTTGTGAAATTTTCATATGAGCCTTAAAGCGTGGATACTACTCAGGTAGAGGTCATGAAAAGGGAAGGACTTTGACCAAACTGGGATTTTTCTGATGCAAAATCCGACCACCTTTTCTATCAGTTGAACTCTAACGTTTCTGTTAAATGATGAATCTGGTATCTAGAAAACTCTTTCTTTTATTCTGGATATTTTAATGCCAATTTTAATTTTTTTTGTTAAATGTAAATTTAAGTTGAACGTATTATTTCCCCGAAGACGTGAGTGCAGAGGTTCTTCACAGTTAGGAATGCACACACTCAGGCATGCATAGATGCCAGTAGCCACTTACCCACAAATACATGTCCCCTAGAGCTTCCAGTCCAATGCTCATTAATGCACCAGTGTTGAGGTCTGAATATAATTCTTGCAGTTTTCTTTGTATGAGAGCAATGCTATAAAATTAATGTCACTAATGCAGCATTATAAGGCAATGAATGTCATTATGCTTTATCTGGCTGATATGCCAAAAATTTAATAGGTAACAAGGACCTCTTCAGTTCTTTCTCTTGAGGTAACTTCCTCTCATGCCTGTTGTTTTCACAGCCGAAACCTCTATTTGTCCATGGTAACACCTCTGAGTTGAGAAGAAGGTTTTAACACATATTATCTCAGCTCAGTCCCCTCATCAGCAGAGGATTCTGCTTAACAAAATCTTGTCAGGACACTTCCAGATACTCCTTTGGGTTGTGTGTTATTATTAATTGAGGAAAAGAAAAGCCTTGGCTATCAGGAAGAAAAGCCTCCTATCAGTGAAACTGAGCTATGGGACATAGAGCTGGTGGAGATTAGTTTTAACACCTTAAAAAGCAGTAAGTGGGAAATTGTCCATAGTGGACCAGAAGGTGTTAATTACTAACAGTCAACATGGGTGCAAGCATCAGCAGCTTGCCACCAAAAATAAATTACTTCTAAAAGCCACCTCACATATGCTACAAATGAAAACAACACATCTACTAGACATCATTAAAAAAAGAAAAAATATGAAACTGCTATTTTTTTGTTGTTCTGGAAAACAAGAAATGAGGGAGCAGTAGAGATGTCTTTTGAACAGAAGGGAACCATAAAGCCTTAAGGGCCAGATTCTGTGGGAGTAGGGCTCCACATTGCAAGCTGTCCTTTAATTTTAGTGCAACAAGTTACTGAGTATTTTCAGCCCACCATTACTGAGGGCTGGCAATAATTTTCTAGTTCAGAAAAGGTTTTATGTATCTGTGTATGTCTGGATGAATTCTGCTTCTAGGCTAAGTGATGAGGTTATAGCATATGTCAATGGAAATATGGTTTTCCCTAGAGTAACTGTAATGTCTTAGATTTGACATATAATCAGATGTGATCTGTGCCCCTGAGTCAGCTAGAGAGTCCTGTGAGACTATTA